CTCCCTCCCTCCTCCATCTTCCTTCCTTCCTTCCCTCCCACCTCTCTCTCGCTCTCTCCTCCCTCCCCATCTAAAGTTAAAAATCGTTATCAATATCTGTTTTTACCCCTTTTGCTTTTATTTTTGGCAGTCTCGTTTAATGTTTATAAAAGGCAAATTTGCATATTTTCCAATAAAAACGTGTAGGTTATATATTTGTTCATGCCTTGTGGCTCTCAAATATCTGTGTGGCTCTTACATTAAGCAAGTTTGGCCACCCCTGGCCTAGGCCTTCTCCTGGTAAGTCTGCTCCATAGGGACCTGGCAACCCTATCTGGACCCAACCCTTCATCTCCAGCCAGGTGCTCCAAGAGCTCTCAATTGCTGTAGCGCAAGGGTTGTGCAGTATCCAGCAGCGGGTGGATCCAGCCTAGATCACTTCCTGGAGTGCAAAGAGCAGTGGCAGCATTATTAGACCAGACCATCTGCAAAATGTGCCCCTTTCCAGGTGTTCTGGGTAACCTGTATTTTCCAGATGCTGAGCACCTTCTCATAGAACACTGCATGGTTTATCAGCACCACTGATAGGGCAGGTTCTCTGCACATTTGAGGTGGGGCTGCATGTGGCCTGTACTGAGATTAGTATAACAGTGGAAGACTGAAGGGGTCCCCAGCCTTTTGGAGCCTGTGGGTACCAGGGAAGGAAGGGGGCATGTTTGCCTGGCCGCCCTCGATTTCCCCAGCCAGCCCGCGAAGGCAGCCAGGCAAACGTGCCTGCTTCCCTGGAGAAGCTTGGGAAGGGAAGCAGGCATGTTTACAATGCCTTTCTTTACCTCCCTGACATTGGGGCATTTAAACCCAACAGCTGACTGGCGGCTGAGCCGGCAGTTAGGTTTAATGAGACCTTTTTCGTATAGCAAAATGAACCCGAAAAAAGCCAGATAATTACAGCCTTTTCGGGTTCAGCTATACCAGTAGCCGAATACAGAACTGTGATCTGTATTTGGTTTATATGATACCCGAAAAATACCGACAAGGTATTTTTCGGGTATTTTTTTGGTTCGGCTTTAGCCAAATGCACACCCCTAGTAGGGGCCACAACCAAGAAGGCCCTTCCCAAATGCACAACCCTAGTAGGGGCCACAACCAAGAAGACCCTTCCCCTGGTGACAACTAACCATCCTGGGGCCAGGCACCTGCAAGAGGCCCCTAGACAATGACCAAAGGGAGTGTAGGGGGTTTAAACGGGAGAGCTGGTCCTGTAGGTATGAGGGTCCCAGATAGTGTCCCATTTCTGATTTCAGGGCCGTTACAGACGTTACATACTTATTATTAGTGCAACTTCCTAAAGCTATGCTCAATATGATGTGGGTTTAGTAAAGGTTTCCCTTGCTCAAAAGCCAGTCGAATCCGACTCGAGGGGGCGATGCTCATCTCCGTTTCCAAGCTGAAGAGCCAGCACTGTCCAAAGACATTTCTGTGGTCATGTGGCTGGCATGACTGAACGCCGAGGTGCACGGAACGCTGTTACCTTCCCACCGAAGCGGTACCTGTTTATCTACTTGCAATTTCTTGCTTTCGAACTGCTAGGTTGGCAGGAGCCGGGGCCAGAGACGGTAGCTCACTCTGACCCGCAGCACTCAGGCCTCGAACTGCCGAGCTACCGACCTTCCGGTCTGCAGCTCAGCGTCTTTAACCTCTGAGCCACCGCGGTTTTGACAACCAGTAAAATCCCTGACGGTGCCTTCTCTCTCTCCCCATCTGCTCCCCGCAGGTATCCTGGACGCAAGCCTTGCGGACGATCGTGAAAAACTGCTACAAGCAGCATGGCCGGGAGGACCTGCTGTACGCTTTCGAGGACCAGCAAACACAGCCGACTACAGCGACACACAGTATAGCGCACCTGGTACCGTCCCAGACAGTCGTCCAGACCTTCAGCAATCCCGACGGCACCGTCTCTCTCATCCAGGTGAGCGGGCACGGGGCTCGCTTTCTCCACGAAGAGGTACCGGGGAGATTGGGCAGCCGGATCCTAGGGGAGCGGTGGGATGGATGAGCAAAATGTGTTGCATGTCTGCTCGCTCAAAAGGGCCCTTGTCCTTATGGTGGCTCACGTAACCCCAGGGAGGGCCCCTGGCAGTGCCAACGGGGACCCGAGATCATTGGCGAGCTCTAGCTTATATTAAGTGCCAACTGGGTTCGAGTCATAAGAGCATAAGAACATAATAGAAGCCAATGCTGGATCAGGCCAATGGCCCATTCAGTCCAACACTCTGTGTCACACAGTGGCCAAAAATACCAGGGGCCATCAGGAGGTCCAGCAGTGGGGCCAGGACACCAGAAACCCTCCCATTGTTGCCCCCACCCCCCCAGGCACCAAGAATACAGAGCATCCCTTGCCCCAGACATAAGAGAAGCCAATGCTGGATCAGGCCAATGGCCCATTCAGTCCAACACTCTGTGTCACACAGTGGCCAAAAATACCAGGGGCCATCAGGAGGTCCAGCAGTGGGGCCAGGACACCAGAAACCCTCCCATTGTTGCCCCCACCCCCCCAGGCACCAAGAATACAGAGCATCCCTTGCCCCAGACATAAGAGAAGCCAGTGCTGGATCAGGCCAATGGCCCATCCAGTCCAACACTCTGTGTCACACAGTGGCCAAAAACACCAGGGGCCATCAGGAGGTCCAGCAGTGGGGCCAGGACACCAGAAACCCTCCCATTGTTGCCCCCACCCCCCCAGGCACCAAGAATACAGAGCATCCCTTGCCCCAGACATAAGAACATAAGAGAAGCCATGTTGGATGAGGCCAATGGCCCCTCCAGTCCAACACTCTGTGTCACACAGTGGCCAAAAATGCTAGGTGCCATCAGGTTGTCCAGCAGTGGGGCCAGGACACCAGAAGCCCTCCCATTGTTGCCACCTCCCCTAGAATACAGAGCATCACTTGCCCCAGCCAGTTTGGTGTAGTGGTGAAGTGTGCGGACTCTAATCTGGGAGAACCGGGTTTGATTCCCCACTCCTCCACTTGCACCTGGCTGGATGACCTTGGGCAAGCCATAGTTCTGACAAGAGCTGTTCCTGAAAAAGAGCAGTTTCGTCAGAGCTCTCTCAGTCCCACCTACCTCACAGGGTGTCAGTGGTGGGGAGGGGAAGGGAAAGGAGTTTGTAAGCCGCTCTGAGACACCTTTGGGTAGTGAAGGGTGGGGTATAAATCCAATCTCCTCCTCCTCTTCTTCAGACCGAGAGTTCCTATCTATCCCTTGTGGTTAAGAGCCACTGATGGACCTCTGCTCCATATGTTTATCCAATTCTTAAGAACATAAGAGAAGCCAATGTTGGATCAGGCCAAAGGCCCATCCAGTCCAACACTCTGTGTCACACAGAGACCAGAAATACCAGGTGCCATCAGGAGGTCCAGCAGTGGGACCAGGACACTAGAAGCCCTCCCACAGTCCCCCATCCCCCCGAGCACCAAGAATACAGAGCATCACTTGCCGCAGCCTGAGAGTTCGTATCTATACCTTGTGGCTAATAGCCACTGATGGACCTCTGCTCCAGATGTTTCTTCAATTCCCTCTTGAAGCCGTCCATGCTTTTAGCCGCCACCACCTCCTGTGGCAGTGAATTCCAAGTGTTAATCACTCTTTGGGTGAAGAAGGACTTCCTTTTATCCGTTCTAACCCGACCGCTCAGCAATTTCATGGAGTGCCCACAAGGAGTTCTTGTCTTGTGAGAAAGGGAGAAAAGTACTTCTTTCTCCACCTGCTCTATCCCATGCATAATCTTATAAACCTCAATCATGTCACCCCCTCAGTTAATACCTAGCATTAACTTAGTATCAATACCTTAAAGGTAAAGGTAAAGGTTCCCTTGCTCGAAAGCCAGTCGAATCCGACTCTAGGGTTGCGGTGCTCATCTCCGTTTCAAAGCCGAAGAGCCAGCGCTGTCCGAAGACATTTCCGTGGTCATGTGGCCGGCATGACTAAACACCAAGGCGCACGGAACGCTGTTCCCTTCCCACCGAAGTGGTACCTATTTATCTACTTGCAATTTCTTGCTTTCAGACTGCTAGGTTGGCAGGAGCTGGAACTAGAGACGGGAGCTCACTCCGCCATGCGGCACCCGGGTCTCGAACTGCTGAACTACCGACCTTCCACAGCCTGCAGTTCAGCGTCTTAACCACTTAGAGTCCAGTTAATACCTTAGAGGACAACGTGATTTTGGGGGGTATGAGCTTTTGAGACTCGAAGCGCGAAAACTCGCATCCCAAAAAATCTGGTTGTCCTCGAAGGTGCTCCTGGATTCTATTCTGGGTGTCCTACTGCAGGTCCACACAGCCGACTTCTGAAATTAAGCGCCAGGGTGTCCGAAAGCTGGGATGAGGGAGAGAAGGCACAGTCACCTCGCTTTAATGCCTGGAACACGGAGTTCAGTCTAAGCATTGTGTGATGCTGAAGGGCATGGCCCTAACGCAGCGACAAAAAGGGCTAATGCAATCTCGGGGTGTATCAACAGAGGCGTAACATCCAAATCGCAAGATGCCATAGTCCCGCTGTACACTGCATTGGTCTGGCCGCACCTGGAGTGTTGTGTGCAGTTCTGGAGGCCTCACTCCAAAAAGGATGTGGACAGGACGGAGCGGGTGTAGAGGAGATCGACGAGGATGATCGGGGACCTGGAGACCAACAAGCCCTACGGGGAAAGGCTGAGGGACTGGGGAAAGTTCTGTCTGGAGAAGAGGAGGCTGAGCGGGGGAACAGGATGGCTCTCTTTAAGTCATAGAATCATAGAATGTTAGAGTTGGAAGGGACCTTGCAGGTCATCTAGTCCAACCCCCTGCAGAACCAAAAGATAGCCCTACATACCTACAACCAATTTTTCCTCTAAGCTATGGAGTCTTGTGAGCAAAAATTCTACTTTGTGAGCTACTGGCATTAAAGTTGTGAGCAAGCAATTTGGCTGCTGCATCAATTAGTCTGCTCTGGCGGCGTCCTTCCTGAGCTAAGACCGAAATGTGTGAGCCAGAGGCTAAAAAAACTGTGAGCTAGCTCACACTAACTCAGCTTAGAGGGAACACTGCCTACAACATACCCGAAAGATGGCCGTCCAGCCTCCGCTTGAAAACGTCCAGCGAAGGAGCATCCACCACCTCCTGAGGCAGACTGGTCCACTGCTCAACCACTCACAGTTAGGAAGTTTCTCCTGATATTTAGCCAGTCATGACTCCCTTGTAATTTCCACCCGTTAGATCTAGTCTTGCAATCCGGAGCAAGAGAGACTAGATCCGCTCCATCTTCTACATGACAGCCCTTCAGATACTTGAAGACTGCCATCCTGTCCCCTCTGAGCCTTCTCTTTCCCAGGCTAAACAGACCCAACTCTTTCAGCCTTTCCGCCTAAGACTTGGATTCAATCCCTCTCACCATCCTGGTTGCCCTCCTCTGGACACGCTCGAGCTTGTCTTTGAAGTCTTGGAAGGGCCGTGTCCCTTAGAGGAGGGCAGGGAGCTGTCCCTGTTGGCAGCAGAGGAGAGGACTCACAATAAGGGGTTTAAATTAAGGGCGGGGAGGTACCGGCTGCATATTAGGAAAAACTTTTTGACCGTTAAGAGTAAGTTCAGCAGTGGAATGGGCTGCCTGGAGAGGTGGTGAGCTCCCCCTCCCTGGCCGTCTTGAAGCAGCGGCTGGACAAACCCTTGTCAGGGATGCTCTAGGCTGATCCTGCATTGATCAGGGGGCTGGACTAGGTGGCCTCTAGGGCCCCTCCCAACTCTGATTCTATGATTCTAATACAAAGAACCAGGCTTAAGTCACATTGTGACCAGTGTTCCCTCTAAGCTGAGTTAGTGTGAGCTAGTTCACAGTTTTTTAGCCTCTGACTCACGTATTTCTTTCTTAGCTCAGGAAGGGTGGCGCCAGAGCAAACTGATTTATACAGTAGCTAAATTGCTCGCTCATAACTTGAATGCCAGTAGCTCACAAAGCAGAATTTTTGCTCACAAGACTCCACAGCTTAGAGGGAACATTGATTGTGACTGGTGAGTCTTAAGTTATGATGGGCTTTTCCCATTGATTTCAGTGAGGCTTAATGCAACTGTCTTTTGCTTTTGGCTGATTAGTATTACCGCGGCCGAGTTCAGACTTGCCGTTGGCCCCGATATAGGCCCGTGTGAGGAACGTTTCACAAGCGGATTAAAGGGGCCGTTCACACAGGCACATCTGTCCGGCGTTCCCCACCCGTACTCAAACCCGTCTTGTAGCGCTTGCCTCCCAGGTTGAAAAGATACCTGGTGAAAGTGGTAGCAGGACCCGGAGAGCCGGTTTATCCCACTTCATCCTGCTTCCCGGAAGTGTGAACGCTGACCGCTAAAAGCCGGGAGCAGTCCGCGTTAATAATGTGCGCCGGCTGTCTGTTTATTTATTTATATTTATTTATATTTGGATTTATATCCCGCCCTACCCCGAAGGCTCAGGGTGGCTGACAAGGGCACCATGTGCCAAAGTTACAACAATAAACGCATAATTTAAAAACAATAAGATACAGTTACAAATTTGCAATACAGATTTAACCAAGATGGGTAGATCTTAACCTCCATAGCAGCTCCCTGAGATCTTATCATCCAATCTGTGCCCAGGCACCTCGCTCCCCCCGTAGGGACCAAACAATCATGATGGTAATACGACAGTGCCCAGGAGGCGGAGGTGGAATAGTGGTGGCAGCGGCTCCTACTTAAAGGCCTGGCGGAAGAGCTCCATCTTGCAGGCCCTGCGGAACTGAGAGAGGTCCCGCAGGGCCCGGATCTCTTCCGGGAGCTCCTTCCACCAGGTAGGAGCCGCCTCCGAAAATGCCCTGGTCCTGGTCACCGCAAATTTAACGTCTCTAGGGCCTGGAATTTCCAGGAGATGACGCCCCCCTGACCGTAGTGCCCTTGGGGGAACATATGGAGAGAGGCGGTCCCTCATGTAGGCTGGACCCTGTTTATGCTGACTGATCTCCTAGCCTCACTCTGGCACCAGGAAGGTGCGGGTGATTGCCTCGAAGAGGGGTTAGTGATGTGGCCGGATGTGCCTATGGCCCACAGCGGCCGGATCCTGCCCTATTTGCCGCCGCACCTAGGCGCCCATGCATAGGCGTCTGCCGCGAGGAAAACGCCGCTTACGGCCGCAGTGTGAACACTCCCTTGCGCCTCCTCCCGGTATGCTCCCCGCATCAGTCTGCGCAGTGTGACCGGGAAAACTCGGAACAGTTTGTTCCTGCTCTTTTTTTTGCCACGACTCCCTCCCGCTTCAAACTGCCAGTCTGAGCTCAGCCCGTATTTGTCTGAAAGGAAAATGACCCTGAATGTAGGATCTCTCTCTCTCTCACACACACACACACACCCCGACACCAATGCCATACGCAAAAAGGTTTTTTAATTACTGGGCATACTTGTAAGTTGTAACCTGTATGTTTCTATGCATACTTGTAAGACGACCCCTTCTTTTTCTCGACAGTATGCTCCGGGGGAAAATAACCCTTTCCGGGTTTATACGGTATATATTGTTTTTGGTTTACCATGGGCGGGTTTACTTGTTTCTTAAAATAAGTAAAATACAGCACAGTGCTGGTATCAGTAGTGGAGCAGCGTAAATGGATATTTATGGTTTTTTGACTTGAATGCATCATGGATGGGCAAATTGGGTTGGCCAGAGAGTCACATTTGGGTCTCCAGGTCTGAGTCCCCGTAGTAGCACCTTGGAGACCCACAAAACTCTCGGGGTAGGAGCTTTCAACAGTCAAAGCTCCCTTCGTCTGATACCTCAGAGGAAGAGAGTTTCGACTTGGCCTAGTTCTCGTGGCCCTTTCTTACACGTCCAGGGAAATGCCGATCGCCACTTTGAACATAAGAACATAAGAGATGCCAATGCTGGATCAGGCCAATGCCCCCTCCAGTCCAACACTCTGTGTCACACAGGGGCCAGAAATACCAGCGCCATCAGGACTGCCACCAGTGGGGCCAGGACATTAGAAGCCCTCCCCCTGTTGCCCCCCCCCCCCCAAGCACCCAGAAGACAGAGCATCCCTTGCCCCAGACATAAAAACATAAGAGAAGCCAATGCTGGATCAGGCCAATGCCCCCTCCAGTCCAACACTCTGTGTCACACAGGGGCCAGAAATACCAGCGCCATCAGGACTGCCACCAGTGGGGCCAGGACATTAGAAGCCCTCCCCCTGTTGCCCCCCCCCCCCCAAGCACCCAGAAGACAGAGCATCCCTTGCCCCAGAGCCCCTATCTATACCTTGTGGCTAATAAGCCACTGATGGACCTCTGCTCCATATGCTTATGTAATTCCCTTTTGAAGCCGTCCATGCTTGTGGCCGCCACCACTTCCTGTGGCAGTGGGAATTCCAAGTGAATTTGGGGTCAGGCAGCCGTTTTCCTCCAGGCCAGTTTGGCCGGGGACCCTGGAGGTTTTTTGTCCTCTTCTGGGCGTGGAGCAGGGGTCGCTGGGGGTGTGTGGAGGGGGAGGTATTTGTGAATTCCCTGCCTTGTGCAAGGGGGTTGGACTAGATGACCCCAGAGGTCCCTTCCCACTCTACGATTCTATGACTTTTGAAAGCTTCTAGCCTGTAACTCTTGTGGGTCTTCGAGGCGCCACTGAATTCGAATCCAGCTCCTCTACTGAAGGCCAGCATGGCTCCCTCCCCCCCCGAAACTACCTGCATTTTGGGTTCGCTTTCGGAGGTTTCCTGGGTAGAAATATGAAGTGGTGCAGTTCGACTCAGAGCCCTCCCAGCTGAGCCAGGGTCTCACGTGTGACCCTCTCGCCCGCTCTGCTGCCCTGAGTGGCGCTCAGTCTTCAAACTAACTGATGCGGCCAACAAATCGTTCACCCATTTTGCAGGCTGGATTCCCCCCCCCCCCCCCCCCCCCGCCCCCGGCTGTAACTTGTCAGCCTCCGGGCTCAGCGGCACCCACCCTCTGATCCCAAACACTCAGAAGCTCCAAGTGGCACAAAGGGATTCCAGAGGTGACCCTCGGTGGCATCTTGTTGATCGTTTTTGCTGTGGTTGTTCTTGCAGGTCGGAACTGGAGCGACAGTCGCCACCTTGGCAGATGCCTCCGAATTGCCCACCACCGTTACAGTCGCACAAGTCAATTATTCCGCAGTGACAGATGGAGAGGTAAGAGTCGGTGTCGGTCGGTGAGAGAGGCGAAGGAAAGAACCCTGAGGGGTTTTTTGCATCAGCCCCTTGCATAGAGAAGAAGAAGAAGAAGAAGAGATTGGTGTCTCAGAGTGGCTTACAAACCCCTTTCCCTTCCCCTCCCCACCACAGACACCCTGTGAGGTCAGTGGGGCTGAGAGAGCTCTAACAGAAACTGCTCTTTTTCAAGGACAGCTCTGACAGAACTATGGCTGGCCCAAGGTCATCCAGCAGGTGCAAGTGGAGGAGTGGGGAATCAAACCCAGTTCTCCCAGATTAGAGTCCGCGCACTTAACCACGACACCAAACTGGCTCACATCCTGTGAGGTAGGTGGGGCTGAGAGAGCTGGTGAGCAGTGCTCCCTCTAAGCTGTGGAGTCCTGTGAGCAAAAATTCTACTTTGTGAGCTGCTGGCATTACAGTTGTGACGAAATTCTCCGGAGTAGACCTTCTGTTTCGTAAAGAACTTCATCAAAACCTCGATACTCAAAAAAGGTGTGCCTTCTTATTCATAACTATTCCATGCTTTTCCTTCAATTCCCTCAAGGAGAAATCCACTCATTTTTCAATTTTTCACAAACGCGGACTTGGCTTGCCCGCGTTTGTGAAAAATTGAAAAATTAGGGGATAGGAGTACATTTCTCCTTGAGGGAATTGATGGAAACGCATGGAACAAGCTCTCCCTCCTCTGCGAGGGCAGATCTGCACATTCCCCCCATAGCTAGCAATCCAAAACAGTCCAGTGGCACCTTTAAGACCAAGCTATATTCAGGTACGAGCTCTCCCTCCTCTGCAAGGACAGATCTGCACGTTCCGTCCCCCCCCCCCCCGCATCCCTAGCCAAAACAGTCCCGTGGAGCCTGAGCGGTGAAGTCATGGTGTGTGGCGTATGCAAATAAGTTATGCTAATGAGTTATGCTAATGAGCTCCTGCACCTCTTTTTCTACGAAATGACCCCTGGATAAATCATAAGACTCCGTAGACGCTGTTGGCTTTGAGAAAGGCCCTGAATGAAGGGGGAGAGCTGGCACCACACAGGTGTTCGGGGAGGCAGGGGTGAGCAGCAAGGAACCTGGGAAATCCAGGCCAGTGATAACATTCCTTAAAGCGAGAGTGGGGGGTGGGTGGGGGGAGATACCTGATGAAGTGTTGCATGCGCACAAAAGCTTTTGCCCAGAATTGAACTTTGTTGGTCTCAAAGATGCTACTGGGCTCAAACTTTGTCCTGTTAAACATTCCTACAGCTCAAGTTGCCGGCCGTCTGACTGCCTGGCTCCCGGCTGCCCGTGGGGAGAGGCTGTTCTTTTCTTGGATCTAGGCCCCCCCATTCCCCAGGCCTTTGTGGCAGACAGGAGTGGTCAGCCCGCTCTGCCTTCCGGAGGGATAGGGTTCGCCGGGCTGTAGGTGGCAGCACAAAACAGCTTTGTCCCCGGCGCAGCCAGCATTTCCATTTGAAAGAACCGGCTAGAGACAGGTTGTTTTGTTTGAGCTTCCGGCCTTCGGTGTTCACCAGCAGACAAGCCCTCGTTGTCTAAGGGCACATTCCGCTTGGCCTTGCGTTTTTTTGGCTGACGTTTGAGCGTACGGACGCGCAGAGCTGCGTTCCGCGGAGTCATGCCTTTCCTCCATTTTGCCCAAAGTTCCAGCCGGAATTTTTCCGCCTGCTCCCTTTAAGTAAGAGCATAAGAAGAGCCCTGCTGGATCAAACCAAAAGCCCGTCTCGTCCAGCATTCTGTTCGCACAGGGGGGCCGACCAGTTGCCTCTGGGAAGTCCACAAATGGTGACTGCAAGAACGCTCCTCAGCAACCGATACAAGGACACATATCACCACCAGTACTGGAGAAGAGAGTAGATAGCCATCACGACTACTAGCCGTCGTGACCAGCAGCTGCTGGTGTGGCCTTGGGTCTGTCACAAGTTCTCTCAGAGCTGTTCTCTCAAGAGCCGTTCTCTCAAAGCTCTCTCAGCCCCACCTGCCTCACAGGATGTGAGCCAGTTTGGTGTCGTGGTTAAGTGCACGGACTCTAATCTGGGAGAACCGGGTTTGATTCCCCACTCCTCCACTTGCAGCTGCTGGATGACCTTGGGCAAGCTATAGTTCTGTCAGAGCTGTTCTTGAAAAAGAGCAGTTTCGGTCAAGAGCTTTCTCACGCCCACCGACCTCACAGGGTGTCTGTTGTGGGGAGGGGAAGGGAAAGGAGCTTGTAAGCCGCTCTGAGACTCCTTTCGGTAGCAAAGGGCGGGGTATAAATCCAAGTTCTCTCAGAGCTATTCTCTCAAGGGCAGTCCTCGGGAGAGCTCTCTCAGCCCCACCGACCTCACAGGGGTGTCTGTTGTGGGGCGGGGAAGGGAAAGGAGTCTGTAAGCCGTTCTGAGACTCCTTTGGGGAAAGAAGGGCAGGGTATAAATCCAATCTCTTCTCTTCTTCTTCTTTCCTGGGACTGAGTCTGGCAACTTCCGCACGCAAAACTCATGTTTGGTGTAGTTGTTGGGAGCGCAGACTCTAATCTGGGAGAACCGGGTTTGATCTCCCACCCCTCCACATGCATCTGCTGGTGTGACCTTGGGTCAGTCTCAAGTTCTCTCAGAGCTGTTCTCTCAAGGGCAGTCCTCGGGAGAGCTCTCTCAGCCCCGCCTACCTCACAGGGTGTCCGTTGTGGGAAGGGGAAGGGAAAGGAGTTGGTAAGCCGCTCTGAGACTCCTTCGGGTAGTGAAGGGCGGCGTATAAATCCAACCCCTTCTCCTCATCCTCCTCCCCCAACACTCAGCAAGTGTTTTTAGAAAGTGGCAGGTCCAGCTGAGGCTTTTGCCCAGCAAGGGTTCTGATGGGCCCCTGGAGACTTGGGCTGACTGTGCAGAGTTTTTAAAACAGGGCTTCGGCAGCACCTGCCACCTGCGCAAGGAATTTTGCGGTGTGCTTGAAGGCGAGCTGCAGCAGCCATTTTGTGGCTGGCTCCACTCCCGTGGTGGCCATTTTGCGCCTGCGCCCGCCACTCTGTGCCAGAACTCCAGAGGTGCCTGCAGGCTCAAAAACGTTTGGGAACCCCTGGACTAGAGAGAGCTCGACCGCGTTACGAAATCATAAGCAGAACGGGTTTCTGGGATGGTCGTATAAAATGCAGTCAATCAATCAGTTTCTTTATTCGGCCAACGACCAGTAGAAGCCAAAACTAAAAGCTTTACAGTGAATCCGTTAGAAAATGAAATTGGTCTGATCTATCGGCAACAATTAGTTAAAATCTATACGTAAAATTTCTCTATGTATTCTACAGGCTGCTGATAAAAAAAATTGGCACAGCTAATGGTAACCCTGTTGATTTTAGCACCCGTTAAAAGTTTCTTCGGAACATATACATAGGAAAATTATTCAATAGAGGGGAAATTACATTAGAGCAAGTTTCCTGACCGAAGCGACAGTGGGACATTACGTGCTCGACTGATTCCACTCCTTCATGGGAGTCTTTTTCTATCTCCCCTCTAAAACTGCAGAGGGGAGGACTCGCCATCTCGCCAAAGTAAAAGCTCTCCGTTGACTGGGTACCTCCAGTTGCATTTGTATAAAATGCAAAAGGAATGTATAGCCTGTTTCCCCTTCCCCAAGGCCTTAGCCACGTGCACGCGTCCCCTGGGAAAGCTCCCTCTCCCAGAATGTCTTCCCTTCTCCATCCCATCAGGTGGAACAAAACTGGGCGACGCTACAGGGGGGCGAGATGACCATCCAGACGACACAGGCCTCAGAGGCCACGCAAGCGGTGGCGTCCCTGGCGGAAGCAGCGGTGGCGGCCTCGCAAGAGATGCAGCAAGGCGCGACGGTCACCATGGCGCTCAACAGGTACGCAGGCAGGGGGCGGGGCATCTTGGATTTCCTTCCCTCTGAACATGAGAACATAAGAGAAGCCAAGGCTGGATCAGGCCAGTGGCCCACCCAGTCCAACACTCTGTGTCACACAGTGGCCAAAAATACCAGGGGCCATCAGGAGGTCCAGCAGTGGGGCCAGGACACTAGAAGCCCCTCCCACTGTCCCCCCCCCCCAAGCACCAAAAATACAGAGCATCCCTTGCCCCAGCCTGAGAGTTCCTACCTATACCTTGTGGCTAATAGCCACCGATGGACCTCTGCTCCATATGCTTATCTAATTCCCTCTTGAAGCTGTCCATGCTTGTAGCTGCCACCACCTCCTGTGGCAGTGAATTCCATGTGTGAATCACTCTTTGGATGAAGAAGTGCTTCCTTTTATCCATTCTAACTCGACCGCTCAGCAATTTCATTGAGTTCCCACAAGTTCTTGTATTGTGAGGAAGGGAGAAAAGTACTTCTGGCGCTCGCTTGGGCGAGTGGATATTTCCTCAAGGTCTCTTGCGAAAGGAGCACGAAAGTCGCTGGAGCCCTCCAAAGCATTGGTGGGGTCTGAGGTTCTGTGTCCACTTTACAAATCTGGGAAATAAAAGAATACATTTGGCACTTCATCGACAGCTATCAATTCATCGCAAACTAACATTTCTGTTAGTTTTTCTCTAACATTTCTGTTAGTTAGCTGTAAAGAGGGGCTGTAGCTCAATGGCGGAGCCTCTGCTTGGCATACAGAAGGTCCCAGGTTCAATCCTCGGCATCTCCAGTTAAAAGATCAGGCAGTAGGTGATGGGAAAGACCTCCACCTGAGACCCTGGAGAGCTGTAAGGAGGGGCTGTGGCTCAGTGGCAGAGCCTCTGCCTGGCATGCAGAAGGTCCCAGGTTCAGTCTTCAGCATCTCCAGTTAAAAAGGACCAGGCAGGAGGGGATGGGAAAGACCTCCACCTGAGACCCTGGAGAGCTGTAAAGAGGGGCCGTGGCTCAGTGGAAGAGCCTCTGCCTGGCATGCAGAAGGTCCCAGGTTCAGTCTTCAGCATCTCCAGTTAAAAAGGACCAGGCAGGAGGGGATGGGAAAGACCTCCACCTGAGACCCTGGAGAGCTGTAAGGAGGGGCTGTGGCTCAGTGGCAGAGCCTCTGCTTGGCATGCAGAAGGTCCCAGGTTCAATCCCCAGCATCTCCAGTCAAAAAAGGACCAGGCAGGTGATGGGAAAGACCTCCGCCTGAGACCCTGGAGAGCGGCTGCCAGTCTGAGTAAACAAGACTGACCTTGGGTCTCATGCAGCATAATGCAGCTTTTAGGGATATGTTAGGAGTGAGGCTGTGGATCACCGGAGGAGTATTTTCTACTCAGACTGGCAGCAGCTCTCCAGGGTCTCAGGCTGAGGTCTTTCCCATCACCTCCTACCTGATCCTTTTAACTGGAGACGCCGTTGCAAACAGCACTGGCACCTGGACGTGCCACCCCAGCCAGACAGGGCAGGAAGAGAAATGCGAGGACTTGCTCCTCTCATTGCTTGTCTCTTAATTGCTTCCCTGCGCCAAGCTATTCGAAGAAGAAGAGATTGGATTTCTACCCCGCCCTTCACTACCCAAAGGAGTCTCAGAGCGGCTTACACTCTTCTTTCCTTCCCCCTCCCCACAACAGACACCCTGCGAGGGAGGTGGGGCTGAGAGAGCTCTTTTGAGGACGGCCCTTGAGAGAACAGCTCAGAGAGAACTTGTGACTGCCCCAATGTCACACCAGCAGCTGCATGTGGAGGATTGGGGAATCAAACCCGGTCCTCCCAGATTAGAGTTCCTTGCTCTTAACCACTATACCAAACTGGCACTACACGCCAGTTAACCGCTATACATGCACTTAACGATGTAATAAACGTTAGGCTTGTTCACAGGGCAAGCGATGTTGTGGGTGCTCTTCGTTGGGGAGCTGAGGGGTGCAGGAACCTTTTCGTGTTCATTTCGGGGAGGGAGAGAGGCTGGCTTCCCAATTGCATCCAGAGACAGGGAGGCATTTGCTCTAACCCAGAACTCAGTTCATTCCATCGCACCCTCTTAAGTCAGAAGACACTTTTGGTAGCATTTCCGTATTCCACAGAACCAGTAGTAGGCCTCTGCAATCCCCGGCATCTCCAGTTAAAAAGGACCGGGCAGAAGGTGATGTGAGAGACCTCTGCCTGAGACCCTGGAGAGTTGAAAAGGGGGGCCATGGCTCAGTGGCAGAGCCTCTGTCTGGCATGCAGAAGGTCCCAGGTTCAATCCCCGGCATCTCCAGTTCAAAAGGACCGGGCAGGAAGTGATGTGAGAGACCTCCGCCTGAGACCCTGGAGAGCTGTAAAGAGGGGCTGTGGCTCAGTGGCAGAGCCTCTGTCTGGCATGCAGAAGGTCCCAGGTTCAATCCCCAGCATCTCCAGTTAAAAAGGACCAGGCAGGAGGTGATGGGAAAGACCTCAGCCTGAGACCCTGGAGAGCTGGAGAGCTGTGAAGAGGGGCCGTGGCTCAATGGCAGAGCCTCTGCTTGGCACGCAGAAGGTTCCCGGTTCAATCCCCAGCATTTCCAGTTAAAAAGGCCCAGGCAGGAGGTGATGGGAAAGACCTCAGCCTGAGACCCTGGAGAGCTGTGAAGAGGGGCCGTGGCTCAATGGCAGAGCCTCTGCTTGGCACGCAGAAGGTCCCCGGTTCAATCCCCAGCATCTCCAGTTAAAAAAGACCATGTGATGTGAAAGACCTCTACCTGAGACCCTCTGCTCAATGGCAGAGCCTCTGCTTGGCACGCAGAAGGTCCCCGGTTCAATCCCCAGCATCTCCAGTTAAAAAAGACCATGTGATGTGAAAGACCTCTACCTGAGACCCTCTGCTCAATGGCAGAGCCTCTGCTTGGCACGCAGAAGGTTCCAGTTCAATCCCCAGCATTTCCAGTTAAAAAGGACCATGTGATGTGAAAGACCTCCGCCTGAGACCCTGTAGAGCGGCTGCCAGTCTGAGTAGACAATCCTGACCTGGATGGACCGAATGGTCTGATTCAGTAGAAGGCAGCTTCAGGTGTTCATCGCCAACGGGAGAAGTGTCTGAAGGGTTTTCTGTAACTCATATGTATGCAGCTGTGGGTTTCCCAAGATTCCCCAGCCCAATGCTACACCTCACTGGGCCCATTACAACACGGGATTGTACCTTTGGCAGTGGTCCCTTCCAGCCCAGTGGGAGTCCTCCGCCTCCCCGAGTACAACCAGCTTAGTCAACACCACCTATCGGAAGGTGCAGAGAGCCAGTCTGGTGTGGTGGTGAAGTGCGCGGACTCTAATCGGGGAGAGCCGGGTTTGATTCCCCACTCCTCCACTTGCACCTGCTGGATGACCTTGGGCAAGCCATAGTTCTGCCAGAGCTGTTATCTCAAGGGCAGTTTCTGTCAGAGCTCTCTCAGCCCCACCTGCCTCACAGGGTGCCTGTTGTGGGGAGGGGAAGGGAAAGGAGTTTGTAAGCCGCTCTGAGACTCCCAATTGAAGGGCGGGGGTATAAATCCAATCTCTTCTTCTTTTTCTTCTGCCGAAGCTTCATTCTGGCGAATCAGAACACTTGCCCTGGACTGAGACCCTCGCTCTGGGGTCTCTGATGCAGAGGTCTTTCTCATCCCCGCCGAGCTTTCTGTTTCAGCCCGTTTCAACCAGGAACCTCCTGCACGCAACGCTTGCGTTCCGCCGTGGACGTGCTCTCCGTCTGCTGAGTAACCCTTTCTCTTATCGCCTGTGTCTTGCAGCGAAGCGGCCGCCCACGCCGTAGCCACCCTCGCCGAAGCCACCCTTCAAGGCGGCGGGCAGATCGTCCTCTCCGGGGAAACCGCAGCAGCCGTCGGAGCGCTCACCGGAGTTCAAGATGCGAACGGTAAGCCGATGCGGGCACGGGGCCCACATAAACACTCACCTCCAAGTCCCAGGAGACTTTTTTTTTTGTAAGTAGCAAGGAAGATTCCCCGTGTGAGCAGCTCTGCTTGTGTTGTTGGCAGTGTTTCCCCTAAGCTGAGTGTTCCCTCTAAATGTCCTCTCTAAGATAGCTCACCGTTCCCTCTAAGCGGTGTTCCCGCTAAGCTAGCTCACCGTTTTTTAGCCTCCGGCTCACGCATTTTTGTCTCAGCTTAGGAAGGAGGGCTCCAGAACAAACTGATTCATGCAGTAGCCAAATCGCTCGCCCACAACTTGAATGCCAGGAGCTCACAAAGTAGGATTTTTGCTCACAAGACTCCAAAGCTTAGGGTGAGCGTTGGTTGCTGGCCCATCCTCTTGAAAGGTGCTTTTTGGCAGCATGATTGCGCTGGTGAAGCCTGTCTAGTTTGGGCCTCTGGTCACAGTCGTCCTCTCCCTGACTGCTCTCTGTTTGGAGCGACAGGGGAAGCGTGTGTTTTGGAAGAGGCCCTTGAGGAGCCTACCTTTAGTTTCCTCCTGGCATTTCTTTATTTGGATGGCAGCCTGCCCCATCCTCAGGGCAGAGGATAATATCAGTGTTTCCATCCATGCACTTAAGAGAGCCAGTTTGATACAGTGGTTAAGAGCGTGGACTCTAATCTGAGAGAACCGGGTTTGATTCCCCACTAAGCCACGTGCAGCAGCTGGTGTGACCTTGGGTCAGTCACAGAGCTGTTCCGTTGTCTTTGAAACCGCTCTCTCAGCCCCACCTCCCTCACAGGGTGTCTGTTGTGGGGAGGGGAAGGGAAAGGAGATTGTGAGCCACTCCGAGACTCCAAGTGAAGGGTGGGGTATAAATCCAATCTCCTCTTCCTCCTCTTCTTCTTCTCCTCCTCCTCATTTCTGCCCCGTTCCCAAGGGCCCTGGATTCCTTACAGCTGGTCAACAAATTGAAAAAACAGTGACTTAACTGGCAAAGGAGTTGGTATGATGTCATGGTCAGGCCAGGACTGGTGGCCTCTGGATTCATGAAGCTTCCTAGAGGGACCCACACTGTTACACCGGCCCCACAGGACTGTTATGAGTAGGGTTGCCAAGTACTTACCGGGAATCGGCGGGGGGCACATGGTTTCTGGCCGGAACATTCCTGCGTGTAACACACCCGCGCCCCACTATACTGTCACCCAGATGTGACATAAGAACATAAGAGACGCCAATGTTGGATCAGGCCAAAGGCCCATCCATTCCAACACATAGTGTCACACAGTGGCCAGAAATACCAGGTGCCATCAGGAGGTCCAGCAGTGGGGCCAGGACACTAGGAGCCCTCCTACTGTTGCCCCCCCCCCCAAGCACCAAGAAGACAGAGCATCACTTGCCCCAGAGCCCCTAGCTATACCTTGTGGCTAATAGCCACTGATGACGTAGGCACGTAGCCGGGCAACGCTTCAGCAATGGGGCTGAAAACTCGATGGTTTTCAGCTCCATTGCCAGAGCATCGCCCGGCTACATGCCCAGCGTGCTGACGTCACGTCTGGGCGACAGCATAGTGGGGGGGGGGGGGCGCGAGTTTTCCGCGCTGGACTGTTCCCGCCAGGAACGATGTGCCCCCCACCGATTCGCAGTAAGTACTTGGCGGCCCCAGTTGTGAGGATAAAATGGAGGGAAAGAAAACCTGTACATCACCCTTAGCTCCTTGGAGGAAAGACAGGATACAAATGTGATAGCGGCCCTGACCTGGATTGCCCAGGCAAGCCCGACCTCGTCCGATCTCAGCAGCGAAGCAGGGCCGGACCTGGCAAGTGTTTGGATGGGAGACCTCCAAGGAATACCAGGGTCGAGAGGCAGAGGCAGGCTGTCGAGCCACTTCTCCGGACTTCTCTCCATGCCCCAGTAGGAGTTGCCAGAGGTCGCCATGACTTCCAGGCACGGGCACACTCCCCCAAATGCAAAAAAGAAAGAGATAGCTGTATTCTAGAACAGACATCTCCAACGTGGTGCCCACCAACAACTTACCTGGCACCCGCCAAGTGTGGTGGAGCTAGGTAGAGCGCTTCCCAAGCACAGCCTCTGATAAGCCGCTGGAGATCTGCTCGGCTGCGCACATTAAAATAACGTTGCTTCGGTGGCAGCTGCCATGGCAGTGTTGGTTTTATTCTCTCCCTCCTCTTTCCCATGGTGCTTTTAAAGTTACCCCTCCTCTCCCCTGCTCTCGGACAGGGCCTTTGGGATGATCCGCCAGGACCCTCTAGAAGTCATTTGGTTCTTAGGTATACATCAGTCATTGGTTAGAGGCCCATCAGTGGCTCTTAGCCACAAGGTATAGATAGGGGCTCTGGGGCAAGTGATGCTCTGTCTTCTTGGTGCTGGGGGGGGGGGCAAAAGTGGGAGGGCTTCTAATGTCCTGGCCCCACTGGTGGACCTCCTGATGGCCCCTGGTATTTTTGGCCCCTGTGTGACAGAGTGTCGGACTGGATGGGCCACTGGCCTGATCCAACATTGGCGTCTCTTATATTCTTATGTTCCCACTTCCAGTTTGGTGTAGTGGTTAGGAGCACGGACTCTAATCTGGGAGAACCGGGTTTGATTCCCCACTCCTCTTCCACAGGCAGCTGCTGGTGTGACCTTGGGTCAGTCACAAGTTCTCTCAGAGCTCTCACAAGTTCTCTCAAGGGCAGTTCTGGAAAGAGCTCTCTCGGAGGGTGTATGTGGTGGGGAGGTGGAGGGAAAGGCGTTTGTAAACCGCTCTGAGACTCCGAGTGAAGGGCACGGGGTCTAAACCCAATCTCCTCTTCTTCTTCCGTCTAATGCTTGCAGGGGCAATGGGAGTGAAGCACTTGCTGGCCCAGTAAACCTTGGCCTGGGTACCTCGCTGCCCCATTTCTGCGCCCTCTGACCTGCGTAAACAGTGCAGAGGTCACCTCGGCATCCTTTCTAAGGTCAAGCCAGGTTGGCAGAGTCACCAGCCCCATTTTGACTCATTCTGGCGGCTTCATTCGGAACCGAATCCAGTCCTGCGGCAGTCCCCATTCGGTCCGGAACGGCGGGGCATCAAGAGGAGAAACGGCTCCTTCGCTGCTAATTCTCTTCCCCAGCCCTGCCTTGTGCTCCCTCTATTCCTCCCCTGTATCTCCTCTCGCTGTCAGGTGCTCTAATCTCTGGTGGTATCAAAGTGCCTCTGCATGAGTCATGGGAAGTGCTCGGAAGTGCTTTCCAGGTTAGTTTCATTACGTAACCGGCAGATCTCTAGCTGCCCTGGAGGCTATAGCAAAGGGCTCCGGCAGCCGCCCTTGGATATCTCCCCCGGCCCATTTGCAAAACATGGAGCAAACCTCAGCATTCCCGCGGTGCCCTGAGGTTTTGCATTTGGGTTCTTCATCTCTGGGTGGGCCAGTTGCCCACCCCTGACTCTCAAGCTGCTCCCCGGCCTTAAGAGAGAGAATCTGCCCAGTTATAAGCCCATCAGCTCTCCCACATAGCCAATCAGCGAGGCCTCTGCAGCACGGAACTTGGTCAGCGTAGGAGATTAAGTGGGGAGCGCTGCGATTGGTCTCGTCGGCTGGGAGGAGGAGAGGGAAGATCCTATGCCGGCCGTGGAATTAGCCAGCCAATTCATTCTGCCCTAGATTCGATATGGAAAAAACAAGGTTGTTCAAACGTCCCCTTACGCATCCTCCTAGCAAGGACGGTGCCGGCATTAACTCTGATCTTCTTGCCTACGAGGAAGGAACCATGTCCGTTTCCTATTTTAGATTGAGAAGAGTAGCCATGTTGGCCTGAGGCAACAGAACAGAGGCTTGTGCCCAGAATTAAACTTTGTCGGTCTTAAAGGTGCTACTGGACTCAAAACTTGGTTCTGTTGCTTCCTGTTTTGTGATGGTTGGTGGCGCTTCCTCCAAGTCTATCGAGGGAGTCAGCATAAGAGGGAGGAGAAAGAAAGAAGAAGAGGAGGAGATTGGATTTATACCCCACCCTTCACTACCCAAGGGAGTCTCAGAGCGGCTCACAAACTCCTTCCCCTCCCCACAACAGACACCTGGTGAGGTAGGCGGGGCTGAGAGAGTTCTACGCTTTGGGAAGAGGGAGAGAAATTCCATTAGTACCATGGAGACCAAAAAGATTTTCAGGATGCAAGCTTTCAAAAGTCAAAGCTCCCTTCATCACGCACTTCATCCTGGTTCTCTGGCAAGGGGAGTTTTGACTCTCCAGGGTTCATACCCCCAGAATCTTGTTGATTCCTCAGGTGCCGCCGGGTTCGAATCGGGCTCTTCTCCAGCAAACCAACACGGCTCCCCTGCGAAGCGTTTTGTTGACGCTGAATCGTGGATGAGTCCAACCCCTGCCCTGTAAGGAGAGCCGTGTGCACTTCCGGCTCAGAAATAAAAGAGACATTCTGGGCCAAGAAAGGCCAGAAGTGACAGATTTACGTAAATGGAGCGAATTTGCACCATCCCTCTATCTTTGCATAAGTCTGCCTTTTGTCCTCTTTTGCATAACTCCCAGGTTTGCTAGTCAGGTGTAGTAACAGGTGTTGCGTTTGTCTCCGGCCCCTTGCACAAATGGTCCCGGCGTGGTGTAGTGGTTAAAGCGTACAGCTAGGATCTGGGGGACCCAGGTTCCAGTCCTCATGCATGCCGTGGAATCTGGCTGGGTGACCTTGGGCCAGTCACTTGCTCTCGGCCAAACCTACCTCACAGGGTTGTTGTGAGGGTAAAACCAAGGAAGTGGATTGTGACGTGAGCTGCTTTGGGCCCCTGTTGGGAAGAAAGGCGGGATATAACAAAAGTAAATAAATAAGTGGCTAGAAACGTGGTTTTTTCCTAAGATTAAAAAAAGAAAGTTGAAACTGTTGGGAAGCCGAATTCTGCGTGTTGTGTGCCCTTTTTGAGAGCCAGTTTGGTGTAGTGCTTGGGAGCGCGGACTCTCGTCTGGAAGAACCGGGTTTGATTCCCCACTCTTCCACATGCAGCCGCTGGTGTGACC